CACAGAGTTGACCCTTTACATCACAGCGTTGCTCAGAGGTCATCACCAGGGGTATAAGTGCCTGCAGGAGATCGTGAAGGCGGCTCTTACTGGAACCCTGCTGGGCTGCATCCTCTTCATACCAGTATGAGATCTGTTACACAACAGAGGATCTTAAATCTGTAAAGTGTGCAATGCATGACCATTATATTTGTGTGTGTCTCTCTCTCAGGGGATCTGTATGATAATCGGAGGGTTCCGGCACAGGGAACAGAGGTTTAACAGTCGCTCGGCAGGGGTCAGCTCCTCTCTGCTCTTCATATCAACAGGGGGTAAGACGTCATGTGCTACGAGGTGGCAAAACTTAGCTTGTTATTGCGCTTCTCTCCTGCTGTAGTAATTAAAGACAATGTGAAATGACACTGTAAACACATTTAACTTAAATAATGTGACATAATTTGCTAAAAAGAACATTATTTAGGAAATAATACAGTGTGGGATGTGCTTATGGTGAGCAGTTACACCAGAACAACACCAGAACCTCACAAACACTTTTGACAGCAACACTGTTGTCATCTCTATTCTCAGTATTTCCGCTCAGATTAACTTTGCTGTCGGGGCCGTGGTGAACACTACGTTCGGCTCCATCACAGAGTTGACCCTTTACATCACAGCGTTGCTCAGAGGTCATCACCAGGGGTATAAGTGCCTGCAGGAGATCGTGAAGGCGGCTCTTACTGGAACCCTGCTGGGCTGCATCCTCTTCATACAAGTATGAGATCTGTTACACAACAGAGGATCTTAAATCTGTAAAGTGTGCAATGCATGACCATTATATTTGTGTGTGTCTCTCTCTCAGGGGATCTGTATGATAATCGGAGGGTTCCGGCACAGGGAAATTATTTATAGTTTGACAACATGAATGTATTAATTTATATAATAATTTATATACTAAATTAGATCATTTACATAATTTAATGTATGTATTATGAAGATTATTAACATTTTATTATAGAAGGTAAATAGAGTTGATTTTGATGTCATGTTGCACAATTCCTGCAAATTGTGAAAATACATTATTTCATGAAACATATTACCAAAACACACAGTTGATCATCATAATTTATTTTGAATGGAACTAAAATATTCTTAAAATGAATGCATTTACAAAATATAATTTAAATCTTAAAAAATGCCTGATGCACAAATCTTGTGAAAATACATTATTTTCTGAAATCGATTACCAAAAGATTGCATTCTTGCATTGCAGTCGATCATCATTATTTATTTTCTATGGACCAAAAATAGTCTTAAAATTATTGTACAAAATTGTAAAATTATTTACAAAATTAAAAATGACAAATGCGTAAACTATTTAACATTCACGAATGTTCAAATAAAATGACTGGTACAAATATATTGTGAAAATACATTATTTCACATTATGTCTCAGCATTAATGTGTATACAAAACATAATTCACAAGTGCGTAAGCAGGTTTATATATTTGCACACAGCAATTCACAAACTCATAACCTAATCCAAATTCATCAAATATGATTTGCAAGTACACTACCAAATTTACATTCAGAAAATAAGATGTATAAATTTGGTTGTGCATTTACAAATCGCATTTTGTGAAAATGAATTAGATTACGAGTTTATGAAATGCTGTTTATATAATTTCATTTTTTAATTTGTGAGTCATATTTTGTAAATAAGTACATTTTGAGACTATTTTATCTCCATAATTTTCCCCTGTGGTCTCCTGTGGCGTCTGTAGGAGTGTTTGCCCTTACGCTGTTCTCCAAAGCCTATGGGAATCTGGTGTGTGAGGACTGTACCAACTCTACAGCGACCAACAGCAGCGGATCCTTCATGTGCAAAAACTGCCTCTACGACCTGGTGAGATTACAAACAAGCATCATATAAACGTGAAAACATGACACACATCAAGCCATTTTCTGCACATTTCTAGAGTCGTTTTTTCTTTCTGTTTCACTAGAGTGAAAACAGCTACAGCCTGTTTCACAGTCACGTTGAGTAAGTTCACAGTGTGAACACTTTCATTTTGTCTACTCAATACTCACAGTTCTAGGGTGTCGAGATTAAAATAGGATTCATTTAAGAATAATAGAAGTCAGTTGGAGGTCTCTAACATGATATAAAACACAACGTGTGTGTGTGCACATGGCAGGTCATCTCGGAGCGTCAATGCATTGGTCCCGATGGAGAGCTTTGCTTATCCTCATCGTTGCCACAGTGCTGATGTCTGCATGTGCCAACCTGACCACCGAACACATCCAACCCACTCTCAGCCGCTCATCTATATCACAGGTTGATAATGCAGTAAATCAGTCAATACTAATGTATTTCTGTATGTATGATCTGACCCTATTCTTCATCTCAGTATTTCATAGATGTGACTCTTTTGGCCATGGTCCCTGAAATCCCAGAAATAGTCAATGGAGTGCAGTTTGCTCTGCAGAATACAATCAGTTTGAGGTTGGTAATAATGGACAACAATTTTTGTCTCATTAATTCAACCTCAGGTTTATTTCACTGAAGGTGTTTTCTACTGAAAATGCACACATTTTGTCATTTTTGGAGGTTGGAAGCTGCATTGCCGTGCAGGTGTGCATGATTCAGATCCCCATCCTGGTTTTATTCACCATCTTCTATGTGAGTGGTTTTGGATATGCTTTTTTTGATGCAGACATACTACAGATATTTAGTGGCAGCTGTATCAGTGTGTTTTCCTTCTAATCTTTCTGTGACAGGATGTTGGCTTTGTAGTCATCTTCAGCGACCTGCACCTGTGGGCCAGCATCTTTAGTGTCATCCTTGTGAATTATATTTTTATGGATGGAAAGTCTGATTACTTTCAAGGTAAATGCTAAATATTATCTAAACCAGGGGTTAGTAATCTTACCTAAAAGTATGTCATCCAGCACTGACACTTTGTGACAAAATGTTGCAGACTTGTGCTCAAAAACTACATCACTATTCAAACGTTTGGGATCAGTAATTAAAAAAAAATAAAAAATCAAGGATGCATTAAATTGGCAGTAAAGATTTTTATAATGTTCCAAACAATTCTATTTCAAATAAAATTCTGTTCTTTTTAAATTTCCATTAATCAAAGAATTCTAAATAAAAGGTATCATGGTTTCCCACAACTGTCAACATTACAAGCATATTAGTATGACTTCTGAAGGATCATGTGACTGAAGACTGGAGTAATGACTGCTGAAAATTCAGCTTTACCATCACAGGAATAAATTACATTTTAAAATCTATTAAAATAGAAGACAATTACTTTAAATTGTTATATTTCACAATAGTAGTGTTTTACTGTATTTTTTGATCAAATAAATGCAAACTTACTGATTTGCCAACCCACTTACAAACTTTGAATGGTGGTATATTTATTTCTGTATAAATCATATTTATTTATTCTATCAGGTCCTCTTGAAGGCTTGAAGTTGTTGAAAGATAGAGAGACAGATAGCTCTATCTTGGTTCATCAGATTGGTTTGACTGAAGTTGTTTTGTGTGTGTTTGTATGAACAGGTACTGCTCTGGTTGTGGTGTATTTCATCCTGCTGGCACTGTACTTTTTTTGCTCCGTCTCCTGCCGGTTGTTGAGAGAAAGGTATTTCAGCTTAATGCAGTCAGTGTGTGATTTACATTATGAAACATTGTTTACTTTTTCAGATTAACATTAGACTTACTTTGTGTTTTAGACTATTACTATTCATCATATTTTATCTTTTGGTACGTCAATAACAATTCTTTTCTTTTGTGTTCAACAAGAAGCGGATCTGACTTGGCACTTTATCATGTATAAGCAAAAAAGACTTTATTACTTTACTAAAAATGAGACGCACAATGATTTTTTGGGATTGTACAGAATGAATAGTTAAAGCTATTTTATTATGAAACAGACCAGGCTTAAGCCTAGTCCCAGACTAAAGTGCAAGTCTGAGCTGTTTTAACTGAAAGAAACTTGCAGTTTAACTGATCGTAAAATATATCAGTGCCTTTGTTTTGTCTAGATGCACACCAGTAATGTTTTTTTCTAAGGCATGTTAATAAAAATGACTTAAATGTCCTAATTGAACTATGGCCTAGTCCTGGCTTAGTCTAAACCCTGTCTGTGAAACCGGGCCATTTGGTATTTTGCAAAAAGGGTCCAGTTTTCGAGTGTTTCTTGATGTGTTGGTACAGTCTCTGATGGTTCATAATTACTTGAGCTTCATGTTTTTGAAATCATGCAGTTGAAGGCTTAATATAGATGCCGTTGTTTGAAGATGTTATTTGTAAAGTGAACATTTTCGTCTGTTGCACTGACCTGTTTGTTTCTTACTGTCTATATTAAAATATGACTGAGTAAATAACTGTCTAAAAAGTATATTTGAGCTATAACAGTTTTAACAAGACTTAATTATTTTCTACATTTTTCTGATTGAAATATATCTTATATATTTATACATGAAATTTAAGATAAATCTCTGGTCAATCTCTGTGGGCAAAACATACAATAAAAATGATCAAATTAACAGACAAACGAAAAATTTATTTTAGTTCTCATTGCTTAATCAACTTATACATGGTTAAAAAGTATCTATTTCACATTTTATTAGTCATATCAATTATTTTTCATCATATAATCGGAAAATTAAATCAAAGAATACAAAATGCTCAATCTTTATTTTATTTTATTTTATTTATTTATTTTTTTCAGAGGTCAAGGCTGAACATTGTCTTACAAAATATAATGGAATGGAATAGGCTACACTGTATTTCAATGTTACCAAAATGCAGCTGTTTACAAACATTATTCATAACATCGGTTTCATTTTATTAACAGTCTTAGCATTTCTTAAGATTTAAGACAGCATCATCTAATTCAATTTGTGGCCAACAGCATACAACAACACAACACAAATAAACTGATCAGGGGCCTGTTCCATAAAACAAGTTTACCAAATAAGCCAGGCTTATTTCAGTTAGTCTGACTTAATTGGAAAGTTCATCTATAAAGGTGACTTTGGTTTCTCTTGATATTTCAGTGGCAAGCTCTGGTTTGTTTATATCCAACGAGTCAGTCCCAAATGTTGTGGTAAGTTCCTCAGATGTTGGATGCAAATCCAGTGGATTCTCTTCACATGACTCTTTTTCATTCGGTTTTAATTGATCACTATCGAATGTTTGTTGTTTTTCTGCATCATTTTGAATATCAGTCTTTTTTTCTTCTTTTTTGTGCTTTGTATCCTCTTTCTTCTTATGCGGTGGTGGAAGCGAACCCTTATCGAATATTTTCCGACCGTGCGCTCTGACTAAAAGGAAAATACGGCCGTAGAATCCAATGATGACCGTCAAACAAACGCACCAGATGGGAGTCAAAATGTAAACTCCAAACGTGTCGTACGAGTCTAACGTGTCGATGCGCAAACCTCTGCATCTGACGTACACCGGCGAGTCTTTCGCAAAAATCACGCAAATGACCGATATGGAGATGGGAAGAAGCCATGTCAATGCAATCCACACCGTTATCCGTTTTCGGCGCTCGGCATTTTTAAACGGATGTGCAATGGCTTGATATCGCTCGGCGCTGATGCACGCCAGTGTGAGCAACTGCACGCAACAGACGAGGGAAAACGACGCGATCTGCGCGCTGCAGAAAAGCACACCGAGGTCGCGAGCGCTCAAAACAACACTGAGAAGCAATGGACAATCAATAGCGCATCGCAAGATGTCAATAACGGCCAGATTGACCAGGAGAGCGTTGTTGGACGTCTGGAGCGACTTCTGGTGGTGCACGGCCCACGCCACGAACAAGTTAGCCAGAAATCCAACCTGCAAAGTGACCAGCAAAACCAGACAACTGGCAGCTACAAACGCAACTTCTATAGTGTCTTGCCATGTGCTGTTCACTTGTCCCCAGACAATGGTGAAATTACTTCTCATCTCTAGTCAATTAACAACAAATTCCATATTGATTTCCAGGAATAAAGTCACACCTTTCACTCCATATCTGGTCTTCTGCTTTTTGAGAGCCTGTAGTAATAAACCCCTTTATTTGATCCCTCATCATCACTATGGTTCTCCATTTGTTTGCGTTTTTCAATTAACACCCTGCAAGGCTCATGGTCACCGGGGAGGCTTTTTTTGTTTTAGGCAATTTGCTAGTTCGTAGTCCTCCAGACTGGAACAATGGCAATTACAGGGCAAGGGGTGATTTTAATGATTTTTCCCTTTATTTCTGCCACTGAGATTTTTTATTTATTTAAACAAAATCACAAATTCTAATTTAAATTAAAAAAAAGCTTTATTCTAATTTTTAAAAATGCTTTATTTCGAATAATAGAATAAGTCATAATTAGAACTGATCTTTCATTAAAGATGCAGTTTATGCTCTTGTCATAGCGATCAGTAATCTTATTTTGAGGAGATTAATTTGGGAAAGGTTTTACTCTAAATTTGGGAATAAGATGCTCACTTTTTATTTTGTCAGGTTACTGCTCTGCATTCATAGTTTAATATCATTTTGGCATATTTGTATAATGGTTTTAATTTGTTTTGATTTATAACATTTGATTTTGTAACTGTTAAACCGATAAATAAAAATAACAGATAAATGGTGTATATTAAAATGTCAATATAAGGATATTCATGTTGAGATTTTCTAAAGATTACATTTTAATAGTGTTATTAGTGTTTTTAAAGATAATAAACTATAGTTGAGAATTAAGGCGAAGGTCATCAATTTACAAATAGTGTGAGCATGAACAATTAACTATCCAATATTTAGCTCACAGACACAGATTAATTTTAAAAATAATATTATTAACTGATATGACACCGATATATTTTGCATCCCAAAATATATATACAGTGAAAAAGTGAAAGTGAAGTGACGTGTAGCCAAGTATACTCGGAATTTGTGCTCTGCATTTAACCCATCCAAGTGCACACACACAGTAATGAGAAGTGAAACACACACACACCCGGAGCAGTGGGCAAGCCAATGCTGCGGCGCCCGGGGAGCAGTTGGGGGTTCGGTGCCTTGCTCAAGGGTCTCACCTGACCTCAGTCGGGGTATTGAAGGTGGAGAGAGCGCTGGATATTCACTCCCCCCCACCTACAATCCCTGCCGGACCTGAGACTCGAACCCGCGACCTTCGGATTACAAATCCGACTCGCTATCCATTAGGCCACAACTGCACCACAATACTGTTTTTTCAAAGAAATCTCTTATCACCAAGGCTCTATTTATTTGAGCAAAAATAATGTAAAAACAGTAATATCATGAAAGATTATAACAATTTAAAATAAACAATATATTCATGTGATGGTAAAGCTGAATTTTCAGCTTCAGTCTTCAGTGTCACATGATCAAATCACTCCAATATACTGATTTCCTGCTCAAGAAATATTTCTTATTATTACGAATGTTGAAGACAGTTTTGTTGCTTAATATTTTTGTGGAAATCATGATAATTTGATGAATAGGAATTTGAAATTAAAATCTTTTGTAACATAAATGGTCATTTTTGATCAATTTAATGTGTCCTTGCTGAATAGAAGGATTCATTTCTTAGAAAAAAAAAAATCGACCACTAACTTATAAGTAATACAAGCAGTAATACACAATGATTCACACGGACAGACCTCAGATCAGATTGGATTAATCCTGCTTTGGCTCTTCTGTGCCGAGCACATCATTAGACCACCACCAGTGTGACGAGGGATGTATCGCCCACAGGACAGGATTTCCAAACTGGACTTGTTTGGACAAACATAATTTAGAGAAAGATTGTAGCATTTCATTGTGCAATAGGCCTAATATATCATACTGTAAACAAACGTGAATGAATACACTCTGTCACAGTAAACACACCCGTTTGTTAGTAAGGAAGTAGATGATGGGATTGTAGACGGGACTGGTCTTGGCAAAGTACATCGGCATGGTGGCCACCAGAGGCGGGATGTAGATCTCTGGATCCACAACTACAACCACAGAGATGGCGGTGTAGGGCAGCCAGCAGATAAAGAAGGCGGTGATCGTGGCCAGGACCATCCGTACCACATGCTCGTTTTCCTCAAGACAGTTCTTCCCCCCTTGGAGTTCAATGCTTTTGTTGATCTGAAATTATGCAATGTCATTTGCATTGATATACCAAACGAGTCTTTGTTATTTCTCAGAACGAGTCGCCTACCTTCCTCAAGGACACGAGCACGTTGCTGTAGCAGTACACAATGACAGCGGTGGGCAGTATGAAGCACAGGAGCGTGTAGAAGATGAGGTAGCTGTAGTTGCTCCAGGATCTCTCCTCCCAGCCTAATGAGCAGGACGTCTGGACGCCCTCCGGCCCGTACGAGCTCCAGCCCAGCAGAGGAGCGACGGCCCAGAAGAGGCAATAGAGCCAGACGAACAGCAGGCCCTGGCAGCTCCTGCGGACGTTCAGCTTGAAGCCTACCATGGGTTTGCACACCACGTTGTACCGCTCGTATGCCAGCAAAGTGAGAGTGCACAAAGACACCAGGCCTAGAAAGAAAGACATTCATGTTTGTCTAAAATATATGTTTTATTGCTTTGCCTGTGCAGCAGTAGTTAAGAGTTTCAAGATTAGGCTATAGTCACAAAAAATATTACGTGTCAGTTTGATAGTTTATGTGTCTGAAATCTAAAACTGGTCAGAAATTGAGATTAATCAGCATTTTATTATAATTTAAATATTTATATTTTAATCATTTATAGGTATTAGTAGAGATAAAATAATCATAGCAGCCAAATAATGTCACAATACTATCCTTAACATAAAAGTAAATTATTTAATGTTGTTTTAAATATATATGTATTAATATTAGATTTGAGTATTTTTAGTATTAAACATTTAATATTTGTAACATTACATTTTTAAATGCTGTATTAAACCTTTAAACTTTGTTGTATTAAATACTTGTTGTATTAAAAATTTCTCACACATTTTAAAAGCGATTTCCACATGAAAATAATAGCTTTAATATAAAAAATAAAAAAAACATTTTAAAATGTTATATTTAAACTACATAAATATAAATATGCAATATTTTTAGTGTTGAACATTTAATATATATATATATATTAGTATAATTTAGTATTACATAACATTAATTTTTTTTAATACATTTAAAATAATAGCCTTAATAAAAGCCCATTTTTAAATGTTGTATTTAAATTGTATATTATAATATATCATATTTTTTAGTATTAAACATTTGATTTTTTTTAACATTACATTTATAAAATAAACTGCTGAAAACGATTTCTCATGCATTTGAAATAAAAGCCATTTAAGTATTACATTTAAACTATATGAATATTATAGATGTGTAATACTTTAAGTAATAAACATTTTTTATAAATATTATAAATATATTTTTAATTTCACAGTTACAATTATTAAATATGGTATTAAATAAATGTGTTTTTCACACACATTTTAAATGGGTCTTTACATCTTTACATAATTATATTTTTAAAATAGTATTTATAGTTCTATTTACTATAGGAGTCACATATTTAATGTCATATTTAAAATCTATAATATTGATACCTTAAAAATACATGTAATAAATTTAGTATTAAACATTTTATATATTAGAAATATTTAATATTAATATTATTCACACATTTTAAATGGTTCTTCTTTACACATGAATATAGCTGCCAGCACTATATACCATTTCATAGGGGGTACTTTGAAAGGAAATAAACATATTTGGACACATATAACATAAAACAAATAAAATAACAATGGTCCCTCTGAACCAGTACTCACCAAAATAGTTCACAGCAAAACCTTGAAAAACAACAGAATGCATCCCCTAAAAAGAAAGATCCTTGGTAATTTGTGATGGTGACGATGGCAGAGCCGCAGGCGGCAATCATAAGATCTGACACGGCCAGACTGAGAACGATGACGTTCATCGCGTTGAGAAAATGCACGTTCTTAAGCATCACAGCAATCACCAACAAGTTATTAAACACAGAATGTACTGTGTTTATAAACATGAGGTATGAAAGTATGCTGTAGCCCACACGTGGAAATATAGTAGGTTGCACTGTCATGGCTGTATCTGTTGTAGTGATGCTCTCCATGGCTGAAGATGAAGTCTGGACAACAGGGCGTTTTGTTATCAGGTTATCAGGGTTAAATGAAGGCTACAGCTAAAACCTGATTTTTGACAGTAATCTGAAGCATCTGCTCAATTGTTAAAGGCCATTTGTCAAATTACTCTTTGCTGGCTAATTAATCATCTTATTTATCAAAGCAGCCTGCTGGGATTTAGTTCTAAGATAATTATATATGGATAATAAACGTTGAAAAAAAATCAGGCAATTTGATTACATTTATAATAAATATCCCAAATAAAATACACTTCAAATAAGGATTAACACATAAAGCCATTTGAACAATGTCAAATAAATGACGAAAAGGCAAAAAAGTGTCACAGAAGTCCTTCCTTAAGTATCAAAAAAAAAAAAAAAACTAGGCAGACAAAAAAACGAGTGTGCGTTCTCAATTTCAACAAAGCAAAATCCATCCAATACTGGCGTCTTCAAAACATGATACAAATGTTCATACAATACCAAGTTCAGTATACTGAAACAATAAAAACGTCAAAAATATATATTTACCATGTAAGCAGAAATGCCCTACAGGTAATCGTGAAATAAAACGTAGTACAATACGCTCGTTCACTGTAAGAGACACACAAAATCTCATTGTACAGCAACTAT